GCAGGCCGGAGCCCCCGGTGGCTCAGTGGGTTAAACCCCTGTGCCGGCAAGACTGAAAATCGACAGGTCACAGGTTCGAATCCGGGGAGAGATGGATGAGCTCCCTCTATCAGCTCCAGCTCCTCATGCGGGGACATGAGAGAAGCCTCCCACGAGGATGATAAAAACATCAAATCATCCAGGCGTCCCCTGGGCAACGTCCTTGCAGACGGCCAATTCTCTCACACCAGAAGCTACTTGCTCCTGACACGACAAAAATAATAATAATCCGGCAGGCCTACCCAGATAGTTTTAATGACGAATGTTACATTTCCATTCTATGTCTAATTTTGTTTTGTTTATTCTAACATGTATTTTATGAAAATATGCTTTAATATGAAGCGCAGTAGGTTAAAGTGCTGAGCTGCTGAACTTACTGATCGAAAGGTTGTAGGTTCATATTCAGGGGGCAGCATGAGCTCCCTCTGTTAGCCCCAGCTTCTGCCAACCTAGCAGTTTGAAAACATGCAAATGTGAGTAGATCAATAGGTACCGCTCCGGCAGGAAGGTAATGGCGCTCCATGCAGTCATGCCAGCCATATGACCTTGGAGGTGTCTACGAACAAATCCAGTTTAGAAAAGGAGATGAGCACCAACCCACAGAGTTGAACCCGACTAGACTTAAAGTCAGGGGAAAATCTTTTTTTTTTAATAAATAGTTTTTATTAGAAATATTTTCAAATACAGCAAGTAAAAGAAAGGGGGAGGGAGGGGGTAGTAGTTCTTGGTTGGACAAGGTAGTTTAAAAAAGGGCCAATGTTGGCCGTGTGGGGGGGGGGGTTCCGGGGGGGGGGGGGGGGTAGAAAGGGGGGAGGGGTTCCCTATCAAATATTTAACTAAGTTTTTGGGGGCATGTGGGGGCGGAGCGGGGAGGTAGTAAGGGGGGGATAGGGTCTTGGGGGTTTGACTTCCAACTCTGTCATCTCCACGTTCTTCGGTTCGTTTCTTCTAATCCGATATGTTTTATGGCTTATCCCTTGTAGTTTCTTTCTGTCTCTTGTTATTTGATCTACTCCTCTTTTTCTGGTGTTACGCTTCTCTCCATGTACTCCTTTAATGGGTTCCAGTCTGTTCTTTTAAGTGGGCGTCCATGTGTGTCTTTTAGTGCGTACGTTAGCATGTCCATTTCTTTTATTTCTAGAACTTTTTCCAACCACTCTTCTTGCGTTGGTATTTCTTTCGTTTTCCACTTTCTCGCAAAAACTATTCTTGCTGCCGTCGTGAGGTATGTGAGTAGTATGTCTTCGTTTGTGTCTGATTCCCATTCTTCTTTAAATATTCCTAACAGATAATATTCTGCTCTTTCTTGTATTTTGAGTTTCAGAATTCTTCCGCAGGTTTCGTTCACTTTTTTCCGATATTTCTTTGCCATGGGACAAGACCACCATTGGTGGAAAAAGGTTCCGGTCTGGTTATTGCATTTCCAGCATTTAGTAGAGTTGTTTTTATACATTCGTCCCAGTTTCTGCGGTGTCATGTACCACCGGTACAGCATTTTATACCAGTTCTCTTTCAGTGCTGAGGAATATGTATATTTAATCTTTCTCGACCATACTTGTTCCCACTCTTTCAGCATTATAGTTCTTCCGATGTTCTTTGCCCATTTTGTCATGCATTCTTTTATTGATTCTGGTTCAGTTGCCCATTTTAGTAACATATTATATATTGATGTTATATTTTTTTTGTCCTTTCGTAAGATCTTTTCCCAGAATTCATCCTTTTCCATAAAGCCCTTTTTTAGGTCTTTGGCAAAGTGTTCTCCAAGTTGAAAATAATGTAGCCAAGAGAAGGATTTGTAATCTTTTGAGAGTTCTTCTTTTGTCTTTAATTGGATAGTTTCTTCTTTTTTGATGGTGGATGATTTGTATGTGGGCCATCTCCTCCAGCCTAGTAGACGCCTCTGCTCTCCTTCCAGTGGTGAGAGCCACATTGGTGTTTTCCCGAGGTACAGGTGGTTTTTATATTTCTCCCATATCTTTAATAGTGGCCTTCTTATAGCGTGATTATTAAAGTTCCTTTCCTTTTTAGTTTGATTCTGCCACAGATATGAGTGCCATCCAATTCTTAAATCGTATCCCTCAAAGGCTAGGGTCTTTTCTTTTTCCAGAAGAATCCAATCTTTGATCCACGCGATCCCGCATGCGTCGTGATACAGGTTCAGATCTGGTAGCCCCAAGCCTCCTCTGCTAGGTGCATCTATCATGTGGATGTGTTTAATCCTTGGTTTTTTTTCCTTTCCACACAAAACGTCTTATTTCCTTATTCCATTCATTCAATACTTTCTTACTTTGTATTATTGGGAGGTTTTGGAATATAAAGAGAAGTCTCGGGAGTATGTTCATTTTTATAGTGGCAATCCTTCCAAGGAGTGATATATTAAGGTTGGTCCAGTTTCTCATATCTTTTTTGATCTTAATCCAGGCTGGTTCATAGTTATTTTTGAACAGTTGAGAATTTTTAGCTGAGATATGTATCCCTAAGTATTTGATTTTTGACACTATTTGCATTCCTGTGGAGTTAGAGAGGTCTTCTTGATTTTCTTTGGTCATATTTTTGGTTAATATTTTTGTTTTTTCCTTATTTATCTTAAAGCCCGCTAGATTACCGTATGATTCCATCGTCGAAATCCATTTCTGGGCTTGATCTCTTGGATTTTCCACGACGCATATCAAATGGTCGGCGAAAGCTCTAAATTTGTTGGCCTGCTTTCCTACACTCAGTGGAGGCAGATTTTTATTCTCTCTCAACTTTCTCAGCAGAATTTCTAGGGACATGATAAATATGAGGGGGGAGAGAGGACAGCCTTGTCGTGTGCCTTTTCTTATTGCTATTGGGCTTGAAGGATATCCATTAATCCACAACGTGGCTTTTTGTTTGCAGTAAATCGCCTCAATTGCATTGATGAACCTATGGCCAAAGTCCATCTCTCTCAAGAGTGATTTAAAGAATTCCCATCTCATATTATCAAATGCCTTCTCAGCGTCCACCGCTATGAAGGCTACTTCTATTTCATGATGTTGATCGTAATATTCCAATAAGTCTATAATATTCCTCGTGTTCTCCTTCATCTGCCTTCCAGGGAGAAAGCCTGTCTGTTCTTCTCCTATCCATTTGTCAAGGAACATCTTCAATCTTTCACTTAATATTGCTGTAAAGATCTTATAGTCTTGGTTGAGAAGGGAGATAGGTCTGTAATTTTTCATTTCAGTCTCATCTGTGTTTTCTTTGTGAATTACTGTGATGTTTGCGGACTTCCACGTCTCTGGTATCTCCTTTTCCTTCATTGCCTCGTTCATGATTTTCTTGAGGCAGGGCACGATTTCGTCGCTCATGGTTTTATAGAACATTGCCGTAAAGCCGTCCGGTCCCGGGGCCTTTGATGGTTTTAATTTTCTGATCGCCTTCTTTATTTCTTCTTCTGTGATCTCCTTATTCAGTTGCTCTCTCTGTGTGTCTGAGATTTTCTCTAGTTTCATCTTTCCTAAATATGACATTCTCTCTTCTGCATATAGTGATTCGTAGTATTTTTGAAATTCTTGGGCTATACTTTTGTCTGTTGTTACGTCGCCTTTGTTGGTTTTTATTCTTACTATATGGTTTTCTTGTTTCTTTTTTCTGATCTTCCACGCCAACCATCTTCCCGGTTTGTTAGCGTGTTGAAAATCTTGTTGTTTGACGAATCTCAATTGTTTCTCCATCTCTTCTATTTCTAGCAGATTTTTTTTTGTCTTTTTAGGGATTCCAGTTCTTTTTTTGCCGTTTTATTATCCACATTTAGCTTGAATTTCTGTTCTTCTTTTTCTATTGCTTTATTTACGTCGTCCAATTTTTGTCTTTTTAGCTTGTTTTTCTTTGCCTTCTGTTTGATGAGGTGACCCCTCATAACCGCCTTACAGGCATCCCACAGGGTTTTCATTTTCATGTCCTGGGTGTCATTCAATTCAAAGTATTCTTTTATTAGCAATTTGTTGTTTTTTATGTCTTCTTCATCCTTGAGAAGGTTTCCGTCCAGTTTCCATCTAGGCGATTCAGTTCTTTGATTGATGGTCATCTCTAAAGGAGAGTGATCCGACAAATCTCTTGGGAGTATATTAAGTTTCGAGAATTATGAGTTGATTGTTTTGGAGGACCAAATCGTGTCGATTCTTGACCATCTGTTGTGTCTCCCTGAGAAGTAGGTATAATCCCTGCTTTCATTGTTTCGGGTTCGCCAAGTGTCTTCTAGATTCCAATCTTCTTTTAATTTTAAGAATTTCATTGGTAGGGTGCTTAATTTATCTCCTTTAGTTTTCTTCTCCACCTTACTTTTATTGTATTTACTATTAATTACACCATTGAAGTCGCCCAACAAAATGATGTTATCTTGTTGTGTTTCGTGAATTTTTTCATTTATGTAATTAATAAGTCAGGGGAAAATCTTGACCCTTTCACTATTGACCTTTAAAGCCCTACATGGTTTGGGTCCAGGATCCCTACAGGATCGCCTTCTCCCATACAATCCACCCCGAATATTGAGATCCTCTGGGAGGTGTCTGCTCCAACCAGCCAGAACCCAACTAGCAATTGTCACCCAGAGGACCTTTTCATTGGCCGCCCCAAGACTGTGGAATGACCTGCTGGTAGACCTGTTGGAATTTAAGCTACAAGTGAAACCCCTTCTCTTCCGGCAGGCCTACCCAGACAGTTTTAATGACGAATGTTACACTTCTATTCCATGTCTAATTTTTGTTTTGTGTATTATGGTTTAATATGTGTATTCTATGGGGTGTTTTTAAATGAAAATGGTTTTAGCAATGTTGAAACCCACTTCAAGCCATGAGGTAGGCAGGTAAGAAATAATAATAATAAGAAGAAGAAGAAGAAGAAGAAGAAGAAAAAGAAGAAGAAGAAGAAAGAGTCATGGTCATTCTTTTCTGAAACTATGGTGTAACAATGTCTTCTACTCTTCTTTTCCCTTTCAGTGGCAGATCAACAACAAAAAAAACCCCACACCTGACATCTCCATATTAGCCATCTCCGTTTGGTATACCTCTTCGTGGACCCCATGAAGGATCGGCTAAAAATGCTTTTGTGGCTTCTGTTCCTAGTTGCTGTCATTTTGGGATCTGATGGTGATACAGGCTTGAGGAAGAAAGCCCTTGAGCTGATGAAGCAAGCCCCACTAATTGATGGGTGAGTGGGGGGAAAATATCTTATTTTCAAATGGGGAGTAGGGAATTCCCTAGGAATTCTTTAGGATGGGAAATTGTATCGACCTCCAAAATAAAATCCATATGCACAGAAACAAAACTAAGTACCACTTCTTGTCTGGAGTGGCTTTGATCTAGAGCTGGAATTTAGGGGTCTTTGCCAAAGGCAGAGACCAATTAGACTCATCAAAGAGTTCTTTTTCCCTGGCGAGACAGAGAAGCACCCAATATTTTTCCCTGATTTCCCAATGAAAGGTCTCATCAAGTTGAAGAAAAGCCATCGAGGTTAAATGCGATTCAGCTGAAAAGGATGCAGAGCTGCAATCATTCGCCAAAGCTAAGCATGAGGAGAATACACCAATACAGTCATATTTATAGTAAATTCAAAGTTGCAGAGTTCAAACTTCCCGCCCCAGCCTCCCTGCCACCCTCCACCGTGATTGGACGATAGGCAAACAGCTGGGAGGTGGTCCTCCTGCCCCCGGCACCTCTGGACCAATCAGGAAGCACCAGTGGTCCGTAGGATCCAATGGGAAGACCTCTGCCACCTGGCGGCGACAGCAAATCAGGAGAGAGGGAGGCGGGACAATAGAACACAAAGGAATCTGTGAATGAGTCTTTAAACAAGTCTCTGTGCTCTAGTAGTAACGAAAGTTTTACTAACACTTTAGAAACCAAACACCAGTGCCATCTAAGTTTGTAATGACTTTTGAAACATTTATTAATCGCATATGCCTAGTATTTAGTACATGTATTTAATTATTGTTGCATTTGTGTTTTAAAATATGCAGTTTTGCAGCCAGCAAACTAAAAGAAAAACCCTAAAGATAAACCATGAGTATAATAAATGCTTGCAGATGCAGAAATTACGCAGAGATTTGTGCCAAAGGAGCCTTAAGAAATTCCTTATATGACTCAGTTTTCGTCTGGGGAACGAGGAAGGAAATTTGAAGAATTGATTGGTTATGACATCAACTATTACAATTAGTTAAGCAATAGTCCAGGGTTTCCAGGGTCAAAATGACACCGCGTTCTGATTAATAGGAGTAATAGTGCCATCAGCAATTCCATAACATTTAACCCTGGCAGTTAAAACAACTTCAAGCTGCATTAATTCTACAATGTAGATCAGCATTTCTCAAACTCTTCTCCTCCAGGTGTTTTGGACTTCTGTTCCCAGAATTCTCAGCCCTCTTACCTTACTTATTTATTTATGTGATCCCTCGTTGTCGGAGTAGGATAATCCTCCAGGGCAGGTCCGTAGGTGACTGTAGAGCCCTATTCTTGATCTGCATCATCTCCCGCAGTGAGGCCATCGGTTTCCAGGTGGAAGGCGGTCCCAGTTGGGGTTGGCTTGATGCACCTTCCTCTTGGCACATTTCTCTCTTTCACTCCCCATTTGTGCCTCTTCAAATTCTGCAGCACTGCTGGTCACAGCTGACCTCTGGCAGGAGGGCTCAACGGCCAGGGCTTCCCAGTTCTCGGTGTCTATGCCAGAGATTTTAAGGTTGGCTTTGAGCCCATCTTTCAATCTCTTTTCCTGTCCAGCACCATTCCGTTCTCTGTTCTTGAGTTCGGAGTAGAGCAACTGCTTTGGGAGACGGTGGTCGGGCATCCGGTCAACATGGCCGGTCCAGCGGAGTTGATGGCGGAGGACCATGGCTTCAATGCTGGTGGTCTTTGCTCCTTCCAGCATGTTGACATTTGTCGGCTTGTCTTCCCAAGGGATTTGCAAGATTTTCCGGAGGCAGCGCTGATGGAATTGTTCCAGGAGTTGCATGGGACGTCTGTAGACAGTCCACGTTTCGCAAGCATATAGTCCTCTTACCACCTGTTAGGAATTGCAAAATATATGGAGCGAGGTGAAATTTAGACTAGGACTGTAGATGGCAAACGTTTACACTAAGGCATGAAGTTTCTGATTGAAGAACACACTCACCAGGTGAAGACAGCTACAGAGTTTTATTAATAAAGATGTTGAACAGGACCAGGCCCAGGACGGAACTCTGCGGCACTCCACTTGTCACTTCTTTCCAAGATGAAGAGGAAGCATTAGAGAGAGTGCTCACTAATGCTTCCTCTTCATCTTGGAAAGAAGTGACAAGTGGAGTGCTGCAAGGTTCCGTCCTGGGCCCGGTCCTGTTCAACATCTTTATTAATGACTTAGATGAAGGGCTAGAAGGCATGATCATCAAGTTTGCAGACGACACCAAATTGGGAGGGATAGCCAATAGTCCAGAGGACAGGAGCAGAATTCAAAACGATCTTGACAGATTAGAGAGATGGGCCAAAACTAACAAAATGAAGTTCAACAGTGACAAATGCAAGATCCTCCACTTTGGCAGAAAAAATGAAATGCAAAGATACAGAATGGGTGGACCATGCCTGGCTCGAGAGCAGTACGTGTGAAAAAGATCTTGGAGTCCTCGTGGACAACAAGTTAAAACATGAGCCAACAATGTGATGTGGCGGCAAAAAAAGCCAATGGGATTTTGGCCTGCATCAATAGGAGCATAGTGTCTAGATCCAGGGAAGTAATGCTACCCCTCTATTCTGCTTTGGTTAGACCACACCTGGAATATTGTGTCCAATTCTGGGCACCACAATTCAAGAGAGATATAGACAAGCTGGAATATGTCCAGAGGAGGGCGACTAAAATGATCAAGGGTCTGGAGAACAAGCCCTATGAGGAGCGGCTTAAGGAGCTGGGCATGTTTAGCCTGAAGAAGAGAAGGCTGAGAGGAGATATGATAGCCCATGTATAAATATGTGAGAGGAAGCCACAGGGAGGAGGGAGCAAGCTTGTTTTCTGCTTCCCTGGAGACTAGGACGCGGAACAATGGCTTCAAACTACAAGAGAGGAGATTCCATCTGAACATGAGGAAGAACTTCCTGACTCTGAGAGCTGTTCAGCAGTGGAACTCTCTGCCCCAGAGTGTGGTGGAGGCTCCTTCTTTGGAAGCTTTTAAACAGAGGCTGGATGGCCATCTGTCAGGGGTGATTTGAATGCAATATTCCTGCTTCTTGGCAGGGGGTTGGACTGGATGGCCCATGAGGTCTCTTCCAACTCTTTGATTCTATGATTCTATTAGCAATTCTGCCAGAAAGTGTGCAAGTACTGCTGATATTAAAATGTACAAGCATACATGGAATACTGATGAGGTTTTATACATTTGACAGCTATTCAAACTTCCTACTCTGCCCACTCCCATTCCTGATGTAGATGCATCCTTAGACAGGCATGTGATGTAACGTAAAATAAACTACGTGTAGTTCACGTTTGTTCAGCCCACACACTGCCTTGCCAAAGAAAGAAAATATGCTAGGCAGATGAACAGTAAGGAACAAATAGTTTAATCTTCATAGTTCATATGTACAATGTGATCAGTTGCATCAACTCACATAATGTCCTTTTATGAGAGACTAGCCATCCCCTGCCACACATTGCTGTGGCCCAGTCTGTGTATATGTTTTGTGTATGTATATATGTGTGTGTGCGTGTGTGTGTGTGTGTTTGCATATATTTGTGTGGTTTTGTGCATGCATTGTAATTCTTTTGGCTTTTTAAGTCTCTCCTGTTGTGTTCTTCAGTGTTTTAGTGAGTGATAGTCACTCGTTGGCCTGATAGTGTTGGAGTTCAGCCTGTGATTGTGTTTCAAGATGATCAAGGTCCTTTAGATGTGGGGGATAATGTCACTGAGGGTCAAGATGGCAATGGTCTAGTCAATGATATTAATGCAGAGAATGACATAGGGACACCAGTTCAAAGTGTAGTTTCCCATGAGAATGTTCCTATAGGGTATAGGGATGATAGTTTACTCCCTGACCCAAAGAGTTCCCAGGATTTGGGGTTTGAAAACAACTTGGCACCTGGAGAAACTAATGAGCAGATAGATAGTGAGCAAATAGACAGACGGCTGGAAATTAGCCAAAACAGACAGCTCAGCCAAGGTCTTCACCGGTCGACAAGGCTTCAAGAGATAAGGGGGAGAGGCAGTTAAGGTAAACAAAACCAGTTTCTGGGTGCTGGGAATAGCCTAACGGAGGGATATAAAGTTCCTTTAGCAGCTCATGAAGTGAGAGCACACTCCAAACTCTCTTTCTTCTTCTCTCTGTGCACTTGCATAGCTCAAGCCTGATCAAAAATATAACAGTATCCAAAAGTGCCAGGCTCAGCCTGCTCCTCAAGCATTGCCCAATCAATCAGCTTCATGCATTTTATTTTACAGTTGACACATACACAGGTTCCTTTGCATGTTCCAACAAGGCAGCCAGGCCATGCTGGGATAAGGGAGACACATCACAACTCCTGAGAAAAATGCATTTGTTGCATTGTCTGGATTTGGACAAAGGACTCTTATGATATGTCCTCATTCTTCTCCTCCCACAATCAGAACAGTAGGTGGACATGTCTCCTCAAGAGAGCCATCAAAGTTGTCAATATACTGTCTTTTTATCGTTTAGACACAACGACTTGCCACTGAAGCTGAGATGGTGGTACCAAAACAAGCTGAACAACATTAACCTGAGGACACTCAACACCACAGCCACCAACATCAGGAAGCTCAAGGCTGGCCATGTTGGTGTTCAGGTAGGTGACCAACTGGTCCCAAAGCCATCTACCCATCTCTATTTCTAGATATTCCCTGCAAATGTATGTCCAAGTGAGATCCAGTGTTTGAAATTACTTTCGTCCACCTTTCCAGTTTTGGTCAGTGTACGTTCTCTGCGGCGCACAGAACAAAGATGCCGTGCGCTTAACGCTGGAGCAGATTGATGTTGTCAAGCGGATGTGCGGAGCCTATGAAGAATTTGAATTTGTGACATCTTCTCAAGGTAACCCTCCTTTCAACAATAAAGGCTGGATGAGGAAGTACAACCTCTTGCCCCTGGATTCAATATCCATAGTTTCTCTTACCCACACTCCAAAAATTATTTCTCCTCCTCCCAAAAGTCTCTGTGTTCTCCAAAAAAGGTGATATAAGTACCTTCTGGAAAGACTCTGATCGTATGTTGGAAATGGACCCACAATGGCAGCTCTTGGGAGGAAAGTTGTGTTAGATAGGAATGCATTGTCTGTAACTCCGTTATGCATTACTGTTTGGAAAATACAGTTCTAATGAACATGTAGAATCATAGAATCAGAGTTGGAAGAGACCTCATGGGCCATCCAGTCCAACCTGATGGCCCATGAGGACTACATGTGTATGTAGTCATACACATTCCAGTAAAAGTTGAAGCAAGTGGTGATGTAGAAATGGAGGGACAGGAGAAGAAGTTGAGTCATGACCATGTCATTCACTGTTGTCCCTGTCTGATGATGAGAAGCTGTGAGTATGTAAGTAAGTAGCAGACATGTGCACTATCTCTTACCATGCGTCTCTTGCCATAATCATCGCTACTCTCTGTATTGTTGCTGATAGTTGCTATGAGTATATCTCTGTATATACTATCTACACACACACGCATATATATGTATAGCAGAACAGATGATATACTCTCTCTATATATATCTATATATATAAAAATGCTTGTGTCGTCATTAGTACCCTAAAAACAAAAAAACTAGAGGGCCAAACGACCCCAAATTTGGCTACAACACGTCTCACAATGCAAGGTGTCATGATTCGTACCTTTGTAGGCCGAAGCCGAAGCCTAGAAGTCAGTAAGCCGGCCTCCATGTTGGTAAGGTAGTGCAGGGAGGCAGACATCTTAGGAGAGGCAGATCAGCAGAGGGGAGGAGCTCAACTATCCCAGGATTGGCTAGGACAGATGGTAGGAGCTGGAGCTGTGAGTGTACATAGGCAGGCAGCTTCTGACAGAGAGGAGAGATTGGATTTTGATTTGAAGGGAGCGGGTGGATTTCTTGTGAGCTCAAGTTTTCCTGTGAGAGATTGTTTGGAGGCAGGTGTGTCTATAGAGATTGGCCGGGAGGATCAAGATAGCCACCTGTGAATGTTAGAACACAAGTTGTTTTTACTCTCTAAGAGACAGGGTATTCTAGGGAGACTAGATACTCTGGGGAAGCCAGGATTGGCTTGTCAGAGGGAACTTGCTCACATTAAAGAAAAAAACCCAGTTAAGGAAACCATCAAGCTTGTTAAGACTCAGAAACCATTTAAGAAAATTGTGCTTTGATAACCAAATACGCTTGTGTACCTCAAAGAAGAATTTAGTTGTTTGTTCCAATACATAAATAAACTTTGTTCTAGTTCAACTTTCAATAGAGCCTCAGCATTGATTCATTCCATAAGATCTGTTCCAGTAAATTTTAACATCTTTTTACCTCAGACATTTTAAAGGGAGGGGCTAACAGCGGGAGCTCACACCACTCTCCGGATTCAAACCTGCGACATTTCGGTCAGCAAGTTTAGCGTTATTATTATTATTATTATTATTATTATTATTATTATTACTAGCCGTCCCCTGCCACGCGTTGCTGTGGCCCACATGGCTGTTCTGTGTGGGATGTTTGGCACAATTCTATCGTTGGTGGGGTTCAGAATGCTCTGTGATTGTAGGTGAACTATAAATCCCAGCAACTACAACTCCCAAATGTCAAGATTCTATTTTCCCCAAACTCCACCAGTGTTCACATTTGGGCATATTAAGTATTCGTACCAAGTTTGGTCCAGATCCATCATTGTTTGAGTCCACAGTGCTCTCTGGATGTAGGCGAACTACAACTCTAAAACCAAAGGAGACTGCCCACCAAACCCTTCCAGGATTTTCCATTGGTCATGGGAGAACTGTGCGCCAAGTTTGGTTCAATTCCATCATTGGTGGGGTTCATATTGTAGGTGAACTATAAATCCCAGCAACTACAACTCCCAAATGACAAAATCAATTTTTTGAGTGAAGGACATACGTTGGGTTGTTAGGTGTCTTGTGTCCAAATTTGGTGTCAATTCGTCCAGTGGTTTTTGAGTTCTGTTAATCCCACAAACGAACATTACATTTTTATTTCTATAGATTATTATTATTAACAATAATAATACAATCAATCCGGTGTGCAGCATAACCTGCCCTTTTCATTTTCAGTCTCTCTTTTTGTTTATAATCCAGGCATTGCTGATATGGACAGTGAAAAGATAGCATGTCTCATAGGCATCGAAGGAGGGCACTCCATTGACAGCAGCCTTGCGACTCTGAGAATGTTTTACGACCTGGGCGTTCGGTACATGACACTGACGCACACTTGCAACACTCCCTGGTAATCCAGAATGAGGATGATGTTCATTTAATTCTGCCTTCTTCCCAATAATTGGAATGATACATTAAACAGCCAATGATATATTAAATCAATACAGGTGACAAAGTCCAGGGACAGCCAGAAATCACAGATATAGCATAAGTTCACAATCCAAAAGGTATAACTAGTAAAGCTTGAACAGGAGTACATGAACAGGAACATAGAAAACTTCCAGGATATATTAAATCATAGAATCATAGAATCAAAGAGTTGGAAGAGACCTCATGGGCCATCCAGTCCAACCCCGCCAAGAAGCAGGAATATTGCATTCAAATCACCCCTGACAGATGGCCATCCAGCTTCTGTTTAAAGCCTTCCAAAGAAGGAGCCTCCACCACACTCCGGGCAGAGAGTTCCACTGCTGAACGGCTCTCACAGTCAGGAAGTTCTTCCTCATGTTCAGATGGAATCTCCTCTCTTGTAGTTTGAAGCCATTGTTCCACGTCCTAGTCTCCAGGGAAGCAGAAAACAAGCTGGCTCCCTCCTCCCTGTGGCTTCCTCTCACATATTTATACATGGCTATCATATCCCCTCTCAGCCTTCTCTTCTTCAGGCTAAACATGCCCAGCGCCTTAAGCCGCTCCTCATAGGGCTTGTTCTCCAGACCTTTTATCATTTTAGTCGCTCTCCTCTGGACACATTCCAGCTTGTCAATATCTCTCTTGAATTGTGGTGCCCAGAATTGGACACAATATTCCAGGTGTGGTCTAACCAAAGCAGAATAGAGGGGTAGCATGACTTCCCTAGATCTAGACACTAGGCTCCTATTGATGAAGGCCAAAATCCCATTGGCTTTTTTTGCTGCCACATCACATTGTTGGCTCATGTTTAACTTGTTGTCCACGAGGACTCCAAGATCCTTTTCACACGTATTTCCCTCGAGCCAGGCATTGTCTTCCATTCTGTATCTTTGCATTTCATTTTTTTTCTGCCTAAGCGTAGTAGTTTGCATTTGCTCCTGTTGAACTTCATTTTGTTAGTTTTGGCCCATCTCTCTAATATGTTAAGATCGTTTTGAATCCTGCTCCTGTCCTCTGGAGTATTGGCTATCCCTCCCAATTTGGTGTCGTCTGCAAACTTGATGATCCTGCCTTCTAACCCTTCATCTAAGTCATTGAATAAAGATGTTGAACAGGACCGGGCCCAGGACGGAACCCTGCGGCACTCCGCTCGTCACTTCTTTCCAAGATGAAGAGGAAGCATTGGTGAGCACTCTCTGGGTTCGTCCATTTAACCAATTACAGATACCTCACCATAGTTTTGCCTAGCCCACATTGGATTAGTTTGTTTGCCAGAAGGTCATGGGGGACCTTGTCGAAGGCCTTACTGAAATCCAGGTACATGACATTCCCCGCATTTACCCAGCTTGTAACTCTATCGAAAAAAGAGATCAGATTAGTCTGGCATGACTTGTTTTTGATAAATCCATGTTGACTATTAGCAATGACCGCATTTGTTTCTAAGTGTTTGCAGACCACTTCCTTAACTATCTTTTCCAGAATCTTGCCTGGTATCGACGTGAGGCTGACCGGACGGTAATTGTTTGGGTCATCCTTTTTTCCCTTCTTGAAGATTGGGACCACATTGGCCCTCCTCCAATCTGCTGGAACTTCTCCCGTTCTCCAAGAACTCTCAAAGATGATTGCCAATGGTTCCGAAATGACTTCTGCTAGTTCCTTCAATACTCTTGGGTGTAGTTGATATGGCCCTGGGGACCTGAACTCATTTAGAGCAGCCAGAAATACCTGGATGACTTGTTTCCCAATTTGGAGTTGGATGTCTCTAATCCCTCATCCACTCCATTTTGCTGAGGTTTAAGATGACTTTCTTTTTGTGAGAAGACTGAGGCAAAGAAGGTATTAAGTAGTTCTGCCTTTTCCCTATCCCCTGTCAGCATTGCCCCATCTTCTCCTCGAAGAGGCCCTATCGCCTCCTTGTTTTTCCTTTTTCTACTGACATAAGAAAAGAAGCCCTTTTTATTGTTTTTAATGTCCCTGGCAAGCCTGAGCTTGTTTTGTGCTTTAGCCTTGCGGACCTTTTCCCTACAGGTGTTGGCTATTTGTTGATTTCTCCCTTTTTCCACTTCTTGTGCATGTCTCTTTTGTGTCTCAGCACAGTTAGAAGTTCTTTGGACATCCATTCTGGCTTCTTTGCACTTGTCCTATTTTTTCTTTTTGTTGGCACAGTTTGCAACTGCGCCTTGAGTATTTCACTCTTGAGAAACTCCCATCCATCCGTAACTCCCTTGTCTTTTAGTATCTGTGTCCACGGAATGCTGCTCAGTGTTTCCTTCATTTTTTGGAAATCAGCTCTCCTAAAGTCCAAAATGCGGGTCCAAAGTCCAAAATCAAAGCTTGGAGCGTGAGAACTCAGGCTTAGCTTCTCACTCTAATGCAGCGTTGCCTGAACTGACTTTAAAGTAAACAACTTATTGTCTAATAGACACCCATGAAATCATTCCATTTCCCATGAATGTCCTTCACAACTTTCCCACATTATCTCTCTGAACAACACAATCTATTTTTGCCTGTGATTTGTAAGCAAAGACTTTTGTTGACCTCCAGGTGGGTTCTCATGGGAACCCTCCTTATCACTCAGCTCTTCACTCGATTCCTTATCTGCTGTTTCTACTCCTGACTCCGCTGAATAACCTGTAGGCTCTGCACTTTCTGAGACGGTTTTCTCACAGAGGGAACCATCATTTCCCAGACTTGAGAGCCCATCACTTTGTGCCACAGGAAAGCTCACAATCCTCTCTAAATCATCAGTTAAACCATCAGCCTCTGGTTGATATACAACAGTCAAGCTCTCTTCGACTATGCCTTTATTACGCTCCAGTTGAGCGCTGTATACCTTTCTCCTCCCTCCCATCTTAAGATAAACAATTTGTTGTCTAATAGACACCCATGAAATCATTCCATTTCCCATGAATTTCCTTCACAACTTTCCCACGTAATCTCTCTGAACAACACAATCTATTTTTGGCTGTGATTTGTAAACAAAGACTTTTGTTGACCTACAGGTGGGTTCTCGTGGGAACCCTCCTTATCACTCAGCTCTTCACTCGATTCCTTATCTGCTGTTGCTACACCTGTCTCCCCTGAAACTCTTGAGGCCTTGCACTTTTCGAGACGGTTTTCTCACAGAGAGAACCATCATTTCCCAGACTTGAGAGCCCACCACTGAAGTCAAGGAGGAATTTAAAAGGGTCTCACCCTGAAGCTCACGCCACTTTGGCCTCCTGGCCAATCAGGAGAGAAGGAGGCAGGACGAGAGGGAAACAGTGAGAACTGGAGTGGATTATGGAAATATGTGGTGTCCATGTGGTCAGCGAGTCCTCAGGGGGCCTTCTAGCCGACCAGCCTATTGTCTTGAGGGGTGGCAATCAACGTTGATGTCTGGCGAGATGGCCAGAATCCGTTTTTTTCTTGAACTGAGATATGGAAACAATGAGGTAATCCTGGCTGTAGTTTTGATGTATAGAAGATAACTGAGAGAACAGATCAGGACAAAGTGTGGCTTTCCGAAGGTCCTTTTGTCCTGTTGAGGTATGATCATCAATGCCAAGTGGGCACCATCCGCTGGGGGGGGCCGACTCTGAGCCCCAGGGTGGCTTCCCATTGTTTTGTTCATGAAAATAAGTCTTTTAATAAGGTTCTTTTCAAACAGGAGATTTCCTCCTTCCAGGGTCACTGAGAGTGGCTTCTTAAAATTTTATACATTTTTTATAAAAGGGCAGAATGGTCAGGCAAAGGTCATTCATAGGGGACTTGAAAAAGTAAAGTTTCCAAAAAGTTTCTCATAGTCCTTCAGAAGGGAAAAAAGTCCCATAGAAGTTCAAGAGAGTACATAAGTGTAAAGGGAGGTGATTTCTCAGTAATAAATGTGTTACCTTCTGCTATATATGAAACCTAGGGCATAAAACGATTAAATGATACACATTATCTAACATGGGAAGGGTCCTTGTTGTTGTTGTTGTTGTTAGTGTCTTGGCAAATTGACCAAGGCTTAACCCTTATTATCCAGTCTGGTGTCCTTGTCTTTAGCAAAACTATAAGTTACTATCTTTTATGGGGGGGAGGGGGGGCATGTTCGTCTTCAATCTTAGTTCTTATCTATATAATCAGCTCTGAACAATTCTGGCTGCCTAGAAATGCTATAAATGACTGTCCATCGCCCTAAGCGTTTTGGAGGAAGGTGGATCAAAAGTGCAACAAAAGGTTCTCTTCTGAACATTATGACGTGTCCACCTTCGTATAATCTTGTCTGGCTTTAAGAGTTGGGATATTTCCATGACAGGCATATGGTTCTTTTTAAGTATTGCTCACTGGAATAATGTATCCTGGACTTTTGTCTCGCTCCAGGGCCGAAACATCAACAAAGCAACTCCACCATTTTTATCCTTCCACTCGGGGCTTGAGCAGCTTTGGCAAAGTAAGAGCAATTTGTGTGTGACAATTAGTTAATGACTTCATTATAGCTGCCTGAGAGCTCTATTACAAAGGCAGCTCTTACAGGGGAAAATTATAGGTCTGTTTGGATTTGTTTTCCTGTCTTGGTGAGATGTCTCCATTAACACTTGATTCCCAAAATGCTAAACTGCAGTCATTATCTCTAGTTTTACATTTGATAAAAACTCTCTGCTTCCAGAACTGTGTGTAGTTCCAACCTTTTCAAGGGTTCTTTCAGTGCCAGTTGCTTATACGTGTGACTGCTGTGGGTTCCTGTAATAGGAGAAAAACAGGATATTTGTGTGTGCGTGTATTTCCATGATGACATGATGGCAACAGTCTTGGACAGCAATGGTTCCCAAAGTGACCCATTTGAGGTGGAATCAGGTGTCAAACAGGGATGTGTTATTGCCCCAACCTTATTTTTCCATCTTCATCGCTATGATACTTCATCTTGTTGATGAAGCTTCCCACCGGAGTGGAAATCCTCTATCCAACAGATGGCAAGCTATTTAACCTAAGCAGACTGAAAGCCAAAACCAAGGTTACAACAACATCTGTTATAGAACTCCAATATGCTGATGACAACAACATCTGTGCGCATTCAGAAGAAGACCTACAAGCATCTCTAAACTCCTTTGCAGAAGCATACGAGAAGCTCGGCCTGTCATTGAACATTGAGAAAACCAAAGTGCTCTTCCAGCAGTCACCAGCCAATCCCCCTCCAATGCCAGAGATACAGCTTAATGGTGTAACATTAGAAAATGTTGATCGTTTCCGCTACCTTGGCAGCCACCTCTCCACAAAAGTCAACATTGACACCAAAATACAACACCGCCTGAGCTCTGCAAGTGCAGCATTTTTTAGAATAAAGCACAGAGTGTTTGAGTGCTTGTATTGTTGTACAGGGTTAGTCAAAATGAATAGGCCAATAAGAAAATTAATTTTAGACGAATGTATGTTTACTGTAACCAAACCACAGCTACGTAGCGACAGATAAACTATCAAAGTTTTTTTTGAGCAACACACATGTATTAAGGCCTGGGTAACAACGGAAAAATTTGTTTCTAAAATCGATTTGTATTTGGGGTTTTTTTTTGTTTCGATATTTAAAATAATTACAAAATTTTCCCTTAAAAAAGTTCGATATTTACGAAATTTCGTAAAATGTGAAAAAAATTACAAAACATTAACGAATCGATTTCCGAAGCAATAACGAATCGATTCGTTAATGGCGGACGCGACCGCGAAATACGCTAAAAAACCTCCAAAAACTTCTGAAGCTTCCCTCTCCCTCTGTTGTTGACTGTTGGTGTGATATTATAATTTTTTTTCACTGATTAAACAAACAACAACTATACAACTTGCCCCAGACATGCGGAAATAATAACGAAACGATTTCAAAACAATAACGAAACGAATACAAAACGAATACGAAGCAATTACGAAACGAATTTAAAAATTCGTTTCGTTTTTAATGCTCCAGAATGGTTCGTTATCGTTTTGTAATTAAAAAATTAATGAATTATTAACGAATTACGAATTAACAAAACGAAAACGCCCAGCCCTAATATATATATACATACATACATACATCCCAGGTCAGAGTGAGTGTCCGGCCGATTGTGTAGCTTGTTGTCGACCTTTGCAACCCGAAAGACAGTTACATCTGTCAAGTAGGAAAATTAGGTACCACCTTAAAGTGTGGGGAGGCTAATTAACTAATTTATGAGGCCATAAAAAGACTCCAGCAGAAAGCACTCCAGCAAAGCATGCAGGGATTAGGGTTAGGGTTAGGGTTAGGGTTAGGGATAGGGTTAGGGATAGGGGTAGGGTTAGGGTTAGGGTTAGGGTTAGGGATAGGGTTAGGGTTAGGGATAGGGTTAGGGTTAGGGATAGGGTTAGGGTTAGGGTTAGGGATAGGGTTAGGGTTAGGGATAGGGATAGGGTTAGGGTTAGGGTTAGGACCTCAACGAACACCTTCCCAGACGTTGCTGCATTCGATGCCATTACGTCGGATGTGCTGCAACGGATGTGGAATGAACTGGACTATCGCTTGGACATCTGCCATGTCACACGGGGCGCCCATATCGAACATCTCTGAAGGTGAGACAAAACTTTGATAGTTTATCTGTCGCTACGTAGCTGTAGTTTGGTTACAATAAACATACATTTGGTCTAAAATTAATTTTCTTATTGGCCTATTCATTTTGACTAACCCTGTATTTGGGCTCGGCCTCATATAAGCCGCACCGAGTCCCTTGGGGAGATGGTAGCGGGGTACAAATAAAGTATTATTATTATTATTATTATTATTATTGAGAACCAGGACATCCGTAGGGATACCAAGGTGCTTGTTTATAAAGCTATTGTCCTCCCAACCGTGCTATACGCCTGCGAGACGTAGACAGTCTACAGACGTCACATGCAACTCCTAGAATGATTCCATCAGCACTGCCTCCAAAAAAATCCTGCAGATCTCTTGGGAAGACAAGCGGACCAATGTCAGCATGCTGGAAGAAGCAAAGACCACGTGCATTGAAGTGATGGTCTTCCGCCATCAACTCTGCTGGACTGGCCACGTTGTCCGGATGCCTGAACACCATCTCCCAAAGCAGTTGCTCTACTCCAAACTCAAGAAGGGAAAACAGAGTATTGGTGGGCAGGAAAAGAGGTTTAGGAAGAGAAGGGTTTTTTTTTTTGTCATGTCAGGAGTGACTCCTGGTGTGAGAGAATTGACCGTCTGCAAGGACGTTGCCCAGAGGACGCCTGGATGATTTCATGTTTTTATCATCCTTGTGGGAGGCTTCTCTCATGTCCCTGCATGAGGAGCTGGAGCTGATAGAGGGAGCTCATCCGCCTCTCCCCAGATTCGAACCTGCGACCTGTCGGTCTTCAGTCCTGCCAGCACAGGGGTTTAGCCCACTGCACCACTGGAGGCTCTGGAAAAGAAGATGGGCTCAAAGCCAACATAGACACTGAGAACTGGGAAGCCCTGGCCCTTGAGCGCTCCAGCTGGAGGTCAGCTGTGACCAGCAGTGCTGTAGAATTTGAAGAGGCATAAATGGAGGGCGAAAGAAAGAAACGTGCCAAGAGGAAGGCGCGTCAAGCCAACCCCGATCGGGACTGCCTTCCACCTGGAAACTGATGCCCTCACTGTGGGAGAAGATGCAGATCAAGAATAGGGCTCCACAGTCACCTACTGACCCACCGCCAGTACACCGATCTTGGAAGACAATCCTACTTGGACTATGAGGGATCACCTAAGTGAAAAATGCTTTACTTCAGCAAACACAAGAGGACAGCACACGCAATTGAACAATGTAAAAGACAGTAAGGAAGTCTTAATGAAGACACAATACTCAAGTCTCTGATAAAGTCCAAAATAAACAGCAGTCTTACATCAGACAATGGGCAATGATCACTAAATCCTTAAAAGCAGACTCGAAGCAGGTACAATTGGAGCAAAGGCATAAGCATCAGAGTCGTTTGTTACCAGCGAAAGCTAACTGCTCCTGCTTCTGATTTATAGCCCTGAATTCCCCACACAGGAGGTGCTAGGGCAACTCCCAATTAGTTCAGCGTTTCTAGCAGCTATTCTAGCTGAACGCCGTCTCTGCTCTGTTTACTTTCGCTTTTCTAGAAATGTGGGCACTTGCATGACTCGTCCTCTCATTCCAATTTCCCCTCAAATTCCTGAACACTTTCCTGCTCTCCTTCCTCTTCTGACGATGAGGAATCCCTAACAGTAGAGCTGGGAAAGCAGAAAGACAGTTGCAGATAGTTGGGCAGTTATCATTCATTTTCATGTGGTGGGTTGAAATGCTCCAGATTGCATGTTTTTGATTGTTGTGGTGCTTGGAAGCCATTCCAGAAAGCATACATGAATGCAAAGCCTAATATAAAATGTATTCATTCATACATATTCTTTTCAAGAAAATGTGTTTTAAAATGTTATTTATTTATTTAAGACATTTATATTCCGCCCTTCTCATTCCGAAGGGGACTCAGGGTGGAGCACAGCATATATACGGCAAACATTCAATGCCGGGACAAGAATTCATTATATGCATACATAAACATTAAAAAACGATTTGTCTCAATATTTAAATACACTGTTTGAAACCGTCTTGATCATCTGTGTCTAATCTAATTGGCCTGGGAAGGTTTCCTATTGTTGCTTTATTGTACTGTCCTGAACACTTGGTCCCACAGCCAAGTTTTTACCATCCTTTTGAAGGACAGGAGAGAGGGGGCCGATCTGATCTCACCAGGAAATATCTCTTAGTATTATTGTTTGTTAATGTTAAAGGTGACAGTTTCCTTGTAATAATTAGAAAGAAAGAAAAATAGCCTTCACTTTTGGTCCCAGTAAAAACTCCATTGTAATTCATACAATAACTTCACAGTGGTCTTCAAATTAGTGGAGTTTTCAGCCTTAGTGGAGTCATTGTAGATGCATTTGTTATACCTTTCCTGCCACCTTGTGTCCAGAATGGTGAATTGTATGTTTTGAGTTATCCATAAAAAAAAGTTACAAAAAAAGAACAAGGGATGGCAACATCTCTCTTTTTGTAATGGCAGGAGGTGGTGAAGGAGATGAACCGACTCGGGATGATGATCGACTTATCCCACACATCGGACAGGACAGCAAGGGACGCTCTCAAATTCTCCAAAGCCCCGGTCATTTTCAGCCACTCTTCAGCCTTCTCCGTTTGCAACCACTCAAGGAATGTTCCAGACGATCTTCTGGAAGACCTGGTGAGTGAAGCACATCTTTCTGGGCTGCCAAAATTATGCACTAAAGCCATTGTGGGCAACCTCTAGAGACAAGGAAAGTTACATTGATTCTATGAACTGGCAGTGGACTGCCCCTCACTCGTACACCAGAGCAGGAGCACCTATGACCTTAAACATCACATCAACTTGGTAAAATCTGCAAGCAGTTTATTGAAGAATACATGTAGACAAAGCAGAAAAAAGAGCAAAAACAATAAATAAAATTGTCCATAAGGAGAAAACAAGATCCATAAGTACATTAAAATCCATGAAACTAGGCACTTGAATTCATGAAATAAGACAGCAGGAAAAAAGTCTCATAGACAAATCTTAAGTTTGGCAAAAATTTGGTACAAGAAACTAAGAGCACTTGAAAGCAAGACCGTGATGAAATTTCAACGTTGACCCGACTGAGGCAACTCTTTCCCATGAATCATTTTAAGGCTTTTTCAGATCCCAAAACTGAAAAGAAAGCATTTCTCTTGACCTTCCCAACAGATAAAGGTTTGTTATCTCTCTTTTGCTGTAAATGAACTGTCTCTGTTTACTAAAACTTTGCTTTCTATCCAAACTTTCATTATCTTCTCTCTCATTATCTTCTGCACCTGACAAATCATCTTCAGACAGTTGCTCTGAGAAAACCTGTGAAGGGCCCCTCCCAAGAATGTGGCCTTGTGAATCTTCCTGAGATAGCTCGTGCCTCTTGTCTGAGCTTAATTCAGGGCCAAGCGAACTTTCATCTCCAATGCCAACAGACCCTGGCCCACCATCAGGAACACCATCCCCATTCCCATCATGAACATCATCATGAACATCAGACACAATCATAGTCTAAACAGGCTGACAAACAACACTCACTATGGTACTGAATTGGTTGCCTTGCCACTGAACTTTGGCAACCCAAAAGGGATAAGATTTCATATGAAAACAAAGCACATGAGGAAAATTCCTCTGGCCTTTAATGATGCATCTGGGAAACTTCAGGGAGTTTAATTCAGTTTGGATCTCAGGGGGAATGTGTTGAGGGAAACAGAGGGAGGAAAGCAAGAGCCACAAAGAGAGCCTGCCAATGACAGCTGGGCAACACTAGGTATATGTCCGCTAGGAATAATATAAAGAGTTACAATGAATAATCCATGATGTCAAGTCAGAGTCCAGTATCATGGTTGATGTTACATAACTTTATGTATGCATCTTTCTTACTTTATTTGGTTATTCTCTATTGTAGAAAAACAACCATGGGATCATAATGGTGACCTTCCCAACCAAGTTTTTGGCCTGTGATAACCAACCAGTTGACGTTTCTACAGTTGCAGGTTTGTATCACAATTTTTGAACATGATACTTGCCTCAAGCAGACAAGAGTTCTTCCTGCCACCCTGGACATCATTCCACAGAAATATAACACATATGTTAAATGTTTTGATACGGCCAATAGGCCAATCAATAAAACATATCTATCACAGAAATATAAACCCCACTTGCCTAGTTTCCAACAGACCTCACAACCTCTGAGGATGCCTGCCATAGATGTGGGCACAACATCAGGAGAGAATGCTTCTAGAACATGGCAACTCAGCCCAGAAAACTCACAGCAACCCATTTTAGTTTTCTCTGCGAAAGTGCTGGGGCTTCTATAAATCGACGTTATCTCATTTTCTTTCTCTCGTTTTCTCTTTTTGAGAAAAAAATAGATCACTTGGACTACATAAAGAAGGTTGCAGGCCCAACTTCAATAGGAATTGGTGGTGACTACGATGGAGAAGATAAGTTAGTAAACTTCTTTTCTCCCTATTTGCTACACGTCTGCTATTTACTTAGATGTAGTTTTATGGAATGGGAGATGTAGTTTTGTGGAATGGGAGTTGTAGTTTTATGGAATGGGAATTGTAGTTTTGTGGAATTGGAGTTGCAGTTTTATAGAATGGGAGGTAGTTTTATGGAATGGGAGATGTAGTTTTGTGGAATGGGAGTTGTAGTTATATGGAATCAGAGTTGCAGCTTTATGGAATTAGAGTTGTTCTTGAATGGAATGGGAGTTGTATTTTTATGGAATGGAAGTTGTAGTTTTATGGAATTGGATGTGTAGTTTTATGGAATGATGGCTGTAGTTTTATAGAATGGAAGTTGCAGTTTTGTGGAATGAGAGCTGTCGTTTTATGGAATGGGAGTTGTAGCTTTATGGAATGGGTGTTGTAGTTTTATGGAATGTGAGTTGTAGCTTTATGGAATGGGAGATGTAGCTTTATGGAATGGGAGTTGTAGTATTATGGAATGGGAGACATAGTTTTATGGATTGGGAGTTGTATCTTTATAGAATGGGAAAGGTAGTTTTATGGGATGGGAGTTGCATAGTCGCTTTATGGAATGAGAGTTGTAGTTTTATGGAATGGTAGTTGTAGTTTCATGGAATGGGGGTTGTAATTTTATGGAATGAGAGCTGTAGTTTCATGGAATGGGAGCTGTAGCTTTATGGAATGGAAGTTGTAGTTTTATCGAATGGCAGTAGTTTCATGGAATGGGAGTTAAAGTTCTACAAGGCTGTTAGCCTACTTGGTCAAAAGTGCTTGCACCTTGCCAAGTGACAACTCAAAGATTTCATGGCAATTAAAGTGGCATCAAACTGGATTAATTCTACAGTATGGATGAACCCTGTGACAATCTCCCCAAAAGCATTGTAATAGGCTTCCCTTTCTTCACAGATTTCCAGTGGGTTTGGAGGACGTTTCCAAATACCCAGTTTTGATCGAGGAACTGCTCAGGAGGAACTGGACGGAGGAGGAGCTGAAAGCCGTTTTGCGGGAGAACTTCCTCCGTGTTTTCCAGGAAGTGGAAAAGGTAAGGTTGAGACCAGGTGATGAGCCGTGAAAGGTTTTGTTTTCTTAAAGAGAGGAAGATGGAGAGATGCAAAACAAACCACAAAACAACCAAATTGTTCTTCGAAAAGAGACATCACATATATCTTTGAATTTGATAGTAAGGAATAAACACACTTCTCTCAGGGTGCATCTACACTACAGAATTAATGCAATTTGAACCCACTTTAACTGCCATGACTCAATGCTGTAGAATTTTACAAGGCCCTTAGCCATCTCTGTCCAAAACCGCAGGGTGTTTGGTTTTTGTCCTGTTCTTTAATATGCTTTCAAGGCTGGTTTGCTTCCAGCACAGTTGGACGCCACAACTTCAAGCCGCTGGCGAAAACAACAATTTGTATTCCAGCAATTTCCCAAATTCCCCATCAATTACAGAGAAAGGGGAGAGTAATTTCCCTTCCTGCCAAAAGAGAAGCCCTTTGGGAAAGCCGCTCACAACAACCACAACAGCTTGCCCCTCAGCCAGGCGCAAAAGCCAAATCCGATGCGTTTGGATGGTTTTCTAGACATACAACATATATAGACAGACACAGAGGCAATTTAATATTCCAGCTTTCCGTCTTCGTGAGGATATGCTCGATTCCAGCCACAGAGGGAGCTGTCACTTCACCATCCACTTGTGACACAGAGTCCTTGATGGAGTACCTTCCTCATTCTTACACATGCTGCTGGAAGATTTTATGGTGTCGTAAATTAGTTAAATTAGCCTCCTTGGAATCAAATGCAATGGACCGAGCTGTGGCGCAGCTAGTTAGTAGCCAGCTGCATTACATCACTACTGACCGAGAGGTCATGAGTTCGAAGCCAGCCTGGGCCAGAGTAAGCTCCCCACCATTAATAGTCTAGTTTGCTGTTTACCTATGCAGCCCAAAAGACAGTTGCATCTGGCAAGAAGGAAATTCAGGTACTGCTTTATGCAGGGAAGCTAATTTAACTACCGTATATACTCGAGTATAAGCCAACCCAAATATAAGCTGAGGCACCTAATTTTACCACAAAAAACTGAGAAAATAGATTGACTCGAATATAAGCTGAGGGTGAGAAATGCAGAGGCTACTGGTAAATTGCAAAATAAAAATAAATACCAATTAAATTATATTCGTTGAGGAATCAGTAAGTTATATATTTTTGAATATTTACAAAAAATGGTAATTTAAGACTGTCCAACTCTAATTAAATGATTATTTACCTTCTTCAATGTAAATGTGCTTACATATCCTTCCAATAATAATAAAGAGAGTAACATAATAAATGTAATAATAACAATAATAATAAAAAGATTGAAATAATGGATATAGCAACAATTATACAGTCTATATATATAAATTTGTTAGGGGCATCCAACGAGGAAACAAAACTCAAAAACCCCCCAACGAAACTTAACCAAAATTCCCATGCCCATAACACAACCCACAAGGTACAAACATATCTACTCAAAATGAAAAACAACACAACAACACACTCAAAACGGCAAAAAAACAAAACTCAAAAAAACCCCAACGAAACTTAACCAAAATTCCCATGCCCATAACACAACCCACAAGGTACAAACATATCTACTCAAAATGAAAAACAACACAACAACACACTCACAAAACGGCAAAAGGATAAAACTCAAAAAACCAACGAAACTTAACCAAAATTCCCATGCTCATAACACAACCCACAAGGTACAAACATATTACTCAAAATGAAAAACAACACAACAACACACTCACAAAACGGCAAAACAACAAAACTCAAAAATCCCCCAACGAAACTTAACCAAAATTCCCATGCCCATAACACAACCCACAAGGTACAAACATATCTACTCAAAATGAAAAACAACACAACAACACACTCACAAAACGGCAAAAGGATAAAACTCTAAAAAAAACAACGAAACTTAACCAAAATTCCCATGCTCATAACACAACCCACAAGGTACAAACATATTACTCAAAATGAAAAACAACACAACAACACACTCAAAACGGCAAAAAAACAAAACTCAAAAAAACCCAACGAAACTTAACCAAAATTCCCATGCCCATAACACAACCCACAAGGTACAAACACACCAAACTTAACCAAAATTCCCACGCCCATAACACAACCCACAAGGTACAAACGTATCTACTCAAAATGAAAAACAACACAACAACACACTCACAAAACGGCAAAACAACTGAGCATGCGCATTGGCGCCCAGCCGCAAGTTCCCTGGCGCGCGCACATGCCCTTCCGGCCAACGTTCCCTCTGCGGAAACCATGCCCACTCCAAGCCCCGCCGCGCCGCTTCCCGCACACACACACACCCTGCCGCACATACACACACAACCCCACACTCCATCACTCCCCCCGCCGCCGCACACACACACGCAACCCCACACTCCATCACTCCCCATGCCGCCGCACACACACACGCAACCCCACGCTCCATCACTCCCCCCTGCCGCACGCACACACGCAACCCCACTCCCCCCCCGCCGCCCACCACACACGCAACCCCACCCCGCCGCCGCACACACACACACAACCCCCCCTCCATCACTCCCCCGCCGCACACACACACGCAACCCCACGCTCCATCACTCCCCGCCGCTGCACACGCACACACACAACCCCACGCTCCATCACTCCCCCCAATCTTACCTCATTTTACTTCAGCCACCTCCAAACCCCACCCCGCCCCTTCCCACCCTGTCAAAATCAGGAAAGACAGGAAGGAAGGAAAGAAGGAAGAAAGAGAAAGGGAGGTAAAGAAAAAGGGGGAAGGAAGGAAAGTTAGAGAAAGAAGGAAGAAGAAAAAGGAAAGAAAAGGAAAGATGGAAGGAAAGAAAAGAGAGACAGCAGAAAAGAAAGAAAAAGGGGGAAGGAAGGAAAGAGCTAGAGAAAGAAGAGGAGAAGGAAAGATGGGAGAGAAGGAAGGAAGGAAGGAGGGAAAGAAGGAGAGAAAGAGGGAAGATTGGCCACAGCAACACGTGGCGGGTAAAGGTTGTTATTTCTATTATTATTATTATTATTATTATTATTATGTTATTATTCCTATTAGACCCTGGGGGAATGGGAGAGGTGTCAGGTCCCAGAGGCAATGCATTGCATTATTGTTATTGTTATGATGGTGGTGAAATAAAAGGAAATAAAAAGTGAAAGAAGGAAGCAAACAGGGAGGGAAGAAAGGCAAAGGAAGAAAAGGGGAGGGAATGAAGGAAAGAGAGAAGGATGAAACCAAGTAGTGAAAGAAAGAAAGAGGTAGAGAAGGAAGAAAGGAGAGAAATGGGGAGGAAAAGGGGGAAGGAATAGGTAGGTACCTCTCTTTCATAATAGTCCAGATATCTACCTCAACTTTGATAAGTTTTACTATAGGCCACAGCAACGCGTGGCAGGGCACAGCTAGTAAAATAATAAAAGTATAATAGAGTGAAATGATAAATGTAATAATAATAAATAGAATAAAATAAATGAAAATAATAATAATAATAATAATAATAATAATAATAATAATAAACTTTTTCAGCCTAAAAATGCTAATCAAGGTGGCCAATTGCAACATTCATCCCTACCTCAAACAGACAAGTTTTTTTTTCTCCCAATCTGGACATTCTACAGATACGAGCTTTCTGAACCTGAGCTTTCTGAACCTGAGTTTCCTCAGGACGAGGAGGATGATGGGTTACAGATTTCTGTTCCAGTCAGTGAGTCAAATGTGCCAGTGTTGATTCTGAAGAAGAGACGGCATTTCTGTTCCCTGGAGAAATGAATGTGTTTTCAGATAAAGATAGTGAAACTTCGGAGCTCCAGTTGGAGGCTCCTTCTGGGAGCACCGGGCCTCTTGTTTCCCAGGGTGACGAGGCCCAGCTGGGCAAAGATAATGAGCTAACCGGCCTTGAAGATAGTAGTGGAGATTTGATTAGAGAGGAGCGTTCGAAGAAGCGCACACCTTGCCAACAAGCGTGAAGCTAGAGGTCAATGTAATGCTTTCATGTTGGGAAAACTTATTTAATGATTTGATCGAAGGGCATTCTTTGTCAGTCCAATGTTGCTTTTACCCTGTTAACTTCTGCGGAATTACCTTGGCTTTTGCGGAAAGCTTGTTTAACTTGTCTGTTGCAATCCAGAGCAGAGAACGAGGCCTAAGATAACTATCCACCACACTTGGCTGTGAAAAACAATCCTTTTTATTGAAGAAAAATGGTTACAAAATAAAGGAAAAATGCAAGTCAAAAGCCACAGCAAAATCAGCAAACATGAATTTAAATGGACAAAGCAAAACCAAAAGCCTCACTGGGAAATACTGGAACCTGTTAGCAATCCACTAACCGTACTTGATATCCTAGAAATCTTCCCAAACTATGGCCAGGGAACCGGGAGAACTGCCAAGGTCTTCATCAATTCTGAAACGATGCCTGAACTGAGACAGTCAGCCCGGCGTAAGGCAATTAAAACTCAAGAATTGGTTCCGTGAACCGCCCTTCTTTTTTGAAGCCAATGTTTTTAATTCTTGAATTCGGGAGGATCGACGCAAACTGAGTGATTTACTTCTGTCTTCCCAAATTTGGCCCCTTCTGTTGTCATTAAAGTTAACAGGTGCAGAAGGGAGGGAAAGTTCAAGGTCTCCCTCTGAAACATTCTCATGAACACTGGTACTTTCATTTTCCAAATCTACAGAAGTTCCTTCCTCACTAATTTCAGGAACATTGGCATTTTCCAAACCTACAGCAGTTTCTTCCTCACTAATTTCAGGAGCATTGGCATCAAAAGGTACATTTCCATTAGCATCAGTAAATATGTTTTCATTAGCATCAGGAGGAACAAACAGAGAATCAGGTTCAAGTTCAAACTCAGGCTGAACCCCAACACCTGTTTTTGGAGACTTTGTCTTGCTGCCATGGACTTTTGTTTAACCAATGCTAACGGACTCTGCTTCATATTATTTGCCTTTGGAACCTGGGAACTTTGCCTTTGCATTTAAGACTGTATTGCTCATTGAACTTTACTTCTTTATTTCCCTGTTTTGATTTTGCCTTTTTCCAATAAACTACAAAATCTACAACCTTGGTGTGAGGTGGTGTCTTGGGCAAGGTGAATCTATCCTGAGTTGTGACAATATGTTTGCTGATGTAGATCTCATTTCGATCTTATAGGTGCGGAAGGAGAGTCTGTCCCTGAATGCAAGTGAAGTGGAAATCGCTCCGGGAGAAGTCCGGCACCCCTGCCGCTTAGACCTGGTTCCCCCAATGCCCCGGAGCATCCCTTCCAATGGATTACCTTTGAGAGGGCAACTGAGTAACATCATGGTCATGGCTGCCATGTATGTCATGCTACACTGAAACTATCTCAGGAAAGAGAACATACATTGGTTCCTGGATGGAGGCCAGTTTGTTCAGAAGCTCCAAATGCAATGTAACCAGATGGCCCAGGAAGTGGAACTTGATCAGCAACCTCCATCTCAATGTTTACCTTTAGTAAAATCATGGGAGACGCATGCATGATGCACTTGGATCAGCAACAGAACAACCCTAAGTGGATGCAAGTTCCATTCAGTTCAAAGACTGAATTTAAGTTCTAATACATTATTGAGGGTTGCACATCTGTAGGGTTAGGGACCAAGGCTTCTTCTGGCCTGCCATATAAAAGACAGATTATCTGTTTTTAACTGGATTATAGGGCAGTATAGACTCATATAATCCAGTTCAAAGCAGATAATGTGGATTACATGCTTTGATAATCTGGATTATATGGCAGTGTGGATGGCGTCTGAGTCTACACTGCCATATAATCCAGTTCAAAGCAGATAATGTGGATTATCTGCTTTGATAATCTGGATTATATGGCAGTGTGGAGTATCTGCTTTGATAATATGGATCACATGGCAGTGTAGATGGGCCCCTGAGTTTACAGTGCCATATAATTCAGTTCAAAGCAGATAATGTGGATTATCTGCTTTGATAATCTGTATTACATGGCAGTGTAGATGGCCCCCTGAGTCTACGCTGCCATATAATCCAGCACAAAGCAGATACTGTGGATTGTCTGCTTTGACAATCTGGATTATATGTCTGTGTAGACAGGGCCCTGAGTCTACACTGACACATAATCCAGTTCAAAGCAGATCATGTGAATGATCTGCTTTGGTAATCTGGATTATATGGCAGTGTGAAGTGTCTGCTTTGATAATCTGGATTACATGGCAGTGTAGACGGGGCCCTGAGTCTATACTACCATATAATCCCGTTCAAAGCAGATACTGTGGATTATCTGCTTTGGTCATCTGGATTATATGGCAATGTGGAGTATCTGCTTTGATAATCTGGATTACATGGCAGTGTAGACAGGCCTCTGAGTCTACCCTGCCATATAATCCAGTTCGAAGCAGATGTGGATTATCTGCTTTTAATCTGTATTACATGGCAGTGTAGACGGGGCCTGAGTCTATACTGCCATATAATCCCGTTCAAAGCAGATGTGGATTATCTGCTTTGATAATCTGGATTATATGGCAGTGTAGACAGGGCCCTGAGTCTGCACTGCCATATAATCCCGTTCAAAGCAGATACTGTGGATTATCTGCTTTGATAATCTAAATTATATGGCAGTGTAGTTGGGGCCTGAGTCTACCCTGCCTTATAATCCAGTTCAAAATAGATAATCTGGGTTTTATATGGTAGTGTAGAAGAGGCCATAGACTTAAGGGCTTCTATCCCTTTAAGGTATATGCAGAAGAAGGAATTTCAGCAGCTGTTGCTTGTTTAGTAATGTACCTCCTTATAATCCAGTTTTGCAGCTGCTTTGAAACCACTGTAACCTCTCCCAGTTTATTTGCTCCCCTTTATGGATAACTTTTGCCTTCCTGACTGCTCTCAATTGCTGTTTGGTCTCACAGATCCTGATTTCCCTCCGAGGATATGTGCCATGGGATGGTGAGAACATCTTACCTAGTATTTTGTAGCAAACGTGAGCCAAGTGTGGCCTTCCAGAGGTTGTTGAGGTTGCAACTCTCAGCATCCCTCACCCTTCTGTGTGCCTCTTAGGGCTGATGGTGGTTGCAGTCTAACTGCAGGACCCCATTTGACCCATCTGAAAAAAAAGTAGCACTAATACTATTTACTATTTTCTATAATATTATTTACAGCTGCAGTATGTTCCCTGTATCGGCTGGGAATACATCTCCAAACTCCATACGGATTCACAAATCTTGGATAATAACAAATAGTTTGGAAATGAAGTTCTTCATGACCTAAGTCGTGCTGGGGGAACCTAGCAAGAGGTTTTATATTGCATTCAATAACTGTCGATATTGTTTCTGCAGATAATGAGTGTCATATTTTAGTGCAGTGTTTCTCAACCTGGGGGTTGAGAAGGGGGGTTTCAGAGAGGTTTCCAAAGACCATCAGAAAGCATATTTCTGATGGTCTGAGGAACCCCTTTGGCAGAGAAGGCTGAAGATCTCTCCGTCTGTCCTTCTCTTTCCTTTTTGGAAACAGACTGCGAATCCTCCCACTAAAAGCCCTCATCCACTGTGATTGGCTGGCCTCTCAGCCAAGGGGAGGGCTATTTCTGAGACTCCGAGCGAGGAGGGGAGAGCAGGCATGTTTGGCGCATGGCAGTGTGGTGCACATGTGCGGGAAAGGGAGAGCTTGCAAGGCTGGAGGGAGGTTCGCACCAGTGAGACCCTTCAAGGCAGGCTATTCTGTGTGGGAAGTTTGGCCCCATTCTATCATTGGTGGCAGGCCCGTAGCCAGGATTTCGTTTCGGGAGGGGGGCTGAATTTTTTTTCAGGGGGGGTTTCGGGGGGGCTGAGTTTCGGGGGGGGGCTGAGTCTGAGTGAAAGAGGGTCTAGCCTAGCAAACCTTTTGTATCATTACCCCAATACCCCCATGCATATGGGATATATTGAGTATGGTGATCAGATCATGATATGAATAAACATAACAGTTTAAATAATGCACCAATAAGGCCTTTTCGCGAACCACCATGAAAATTTCGGGGGGGGGGGGGCTGAAGCCCCCCGAGACCCCCCCCCCCGGCTACATGCCTGATTGGTGGGATTAAAAATGCTCTTTGATTGTAGGTGAACTATAAATCCCAGCAACTACAACTCCCAAATGTCAAGGTCTATTTTCTCCAAACTCCACCAGTTTTGACATTTGGGCATATTGAGTATTCGTGCCAGGTTTGGTCCAGATCCATCACTGTTTGAGTCCACAGTGCTCTCTGGATATAGATGAACTACAACTCCTATAAATCCCTCCAAAGATCACCAGTATTCTTTGTTGGTTATGAGGGTTCTGTGTGCCAAGTTAGTTCCAGGTCCATCATTGGTGGGGTTCAGAGTGCCCTTAGATTGCAGGTGAACTATAGATCCCAGTACCTATAACTCCTATAAATTAAGGTGAATTCCCTCCAAACCTCTTTAATATGATCTGTTGCTGATCCATTCCTCTCTGCTTGCTGTGTGCCATAGAAAAGAACAAGAAAGGGTTGGTCCAGATCCATCATTGTTTGAGTCCACAGTGCTCTCTGGATGTAGGTGAACTGCAACTCCAAAACTCAAGGTCAATGCCCACCAAATCTTTCCAGTATTTTCTGTTAATCATGAGAGTTCTGTGTGCCATGTTTGGCTCAATTCCATTGTTGGAGTTCAGAATACACTTTGATTGTAGGTGAACTATAAATCCCAGCGATGACAATTCCCAAATGTCAAGTCTATTTTCCACAAGCTACCAGCGTTCACATTTGGGCATATAGAGTATTTGTGCCAAGTTTGGTTCAGAGCCATAATTGTTTGAGTCCACAGTACTCTCTGGATGTAGGTGAACTACAACTTCAAAAATCAAGTTCAGTGTCCACCAAACCCTTCCAGTATTTTCTGTTGTTCATGGGCATTCTGTGTGCCAAGTTTGATTCAATTCCATCATCGGTGGAGTTCAGAATGCGCTTTGATTGTAGGTGAACTATAAATCCCAGAAACTACAACTCCCAAATGTCAAGGTCTATTTTCCCCAAACTCCACCAGTGTTCACATTGGGTACATTGAGTATTCGTGACAAGTTTGGTCCAGATCCATTATTGTTTGAATCCACAGTGCTCTCTAGATATAAGTGAACTACAACTCCAAACTCAAGGTCAGTGCCCACCAAACCCTTCCAGTATTTTCTGTTGCCAAGTTTGGTTCAATTCTATCATTGGTGGAGTTCAGAATGCTCTTTGATTGTAGGTGAATTATAAATCTCAGTAACTACAACTTCCAAATGACAAAACCAATCCCTCCTCCAAACCCCACCAGTATTCAGATTTGGGCATATTGGGTATATGTGGCAAATGTAGTCCAATGAATGAAAATACATCCTATATATCAGATATTACATTACGATTCATAACAGGAGCAAAATTAGAGTTATGAAGTAGCAAGGAAAATAATGTTATGGTTGGGGGTCACCACAACATGAACTTGATTAAGGGGTCGCGGCATTAGGAAGATTGAGAAGCGCTGTCTTAGAGGTTTTGTTTTCCATCTGCCTAAATAAATAGTATATTGCAAAGGGCTTTGTTGGTTAACAATGCTCTCCGCCAACAATCAGGCTTGCCTCCAGCATTTCCTCTTTCCTTGCAAAAATAGCAATATAAAATTAGAGGCACTAAAAGGGAAATATGAAGTTCGGGTATTGCAAGAGTCTCTGGACATGGTTCATTAAGTTTTTGTAATGCAAGATTGTGCAGCTGGGTTATATCTCGGCCCATAGATATGATAGATATGAGGAATGAGGAGGACGAGGTCTAGTCGGGGTGGAATTTGAGTTTGGATTCTTGGGGAAATGTGCCTCGATCACACTTTGAAAACTGGATAAATGACCAGCCTTGAAGTTGCATAAATATGAGACACAACATGATTAATTGGAGCCAGATTACAGACGCATGAGTGGCTATTGAAAATGTTGCACTCCTTCCTTCATTGCAGAGGGTTTGCGAGTTTTTAGTTTGATTTTGAATTTAGTTCAGAGCTCCGGAATGTTATCTTTTGAAGTGGAAATTCCCAGAATCTCAATGGCCGCATTCCATTGTTTAAGGGTTTTGGGGAGATAGTCCAAAATGCCCTTCAACTATTCCAGTTCAACAGAAACAGGTGATATCGGAGGTGACGCCCCCCCCCCCCCAGGACTCTGTAAAAGATGGTTCAAAACCAAGGAATTTGTAGTTTGACCAAGGACACCAGGTTGGAATGATCCCATAATCCCCTATCTCTCCCTTCTGTGCAGAGGCGGCCCTAGGTAATTTTCAACGGTAAGCAAACAGTATTTTGGCACCCCCCCCCCCAACCAATCACTGATATATATTTTCTGTTTGTCGTGGGAGTTCTGTGTGCCATATTTGGTTCAATTCCATCATTGGTGGAGTTCAGAATGCTCTTTGATTGTAGGTGAACTATACATCCCAGTAACTACAACTCGCATATGTCAAGATCTATTTTCCCCCAAGAGCGCCTCAAGAGCGCCCCTGGGCAAAATCAACTATACTGCAATGCTTACTTTGTGTAATGGGTTGAGCCGCCCCTGCCCATGTGGGAACCTAAGGCTCTTTCCATGGCCCCACATGGCAAGGTCCCTGCA